ATGAGTTCCAAAGAGGACATCTTTGTATGAATGGTTTGAAAATCCAACAAGTTACACTACAAATGCTCTACCAAATTCACATGTTTCACCTGTTCATTCTCAATCTAATGCAGTACCTACTAGAAGGTACAGTTGGAATAGGAGGTTCTGTTGTTGAAAATGACTTTACAACATACAATGTAAGTCCTAAAACCTCTGTTACTTTTGAATTAACTTTAATGTTTATGTCTTCACTTTGTTCTTACATATTACAGCCAGGACTCCCAAGTACTAGGATACTACATATTGGTTCTAAATAGCCTATCAAGCCTACTGATTTTACTGGGGAGCTTGGAACTGGTGTAAAGTGGAAGGCAAAAGAAGCAATGGCATCAAATCAACTGAAAGTGATGAGGGATGAGATGAGAGTAAACAAAATATAGAAAAAGGCTTCTTCACAATCCAAGGAACAATAGAAGCACTGTTAACATGTTGATAGTTTTTTAGATCAAAGATGATGTAACATTGTTAATGGACAAGTTATTTCGCCAAACAATATAATCTTGTTTACAAGTTTGTAGGTTTTGAAGTTGTGATGGTCCAATTGAATATCTATATTAGCTTGATTCACTGATTTTGTATAAACCAACTAATGTATGTTACATTTGCTTATGTTAATCCAATTGTGCTTTCTATTGTACTTTGTATATGCATTTATGTTCATTGTTTGTATTAACTATTTGTGCTAACAACTCGTGTTAATCCAATTGTGCTTTCTATTGTACTTTGTATATGCATTTTACATTAAACATAAATAGTTTCAAATTAGCAACATACATGATAAACATTCATAGAAACAAGGATATTGCATCCAACACAAAATCAAGTTCATTGACTTTACCATACATACTAGCAAACATAAACACTTTCAAACTTACATCAACCAAAGGAAATGCTTCAACTACCTATTTTGATTCAAGCAACAACCTACGACCTAATGAAATGCTTCAACTACCTATAATGATCCAAACAACAACATCAACTACCTATTTTGATCCAAACAGCAACATACATGATCAAGAGACACAACATGAAAATTCTAGTGAGGCTACATTAACTACTCCCTTTCTTCTTCACCTCAATCAGTTTCTCTACCTCTTCACAGTCTGAAAACACTCATTCCATCTCTTTCACACTACATTGTTTTTCCAACTGGGTAAAGACAGATTGATCTTCCATCTCCGTAATTTCTCTATCGTTATAGCCTATGATTTCTTTTATCTTTTTCATTTTATTTACATTTGCAACTAATAGTTCATTCATGTCTTCATTTTCTTCACCAACCTATGAATGATGAACTTAGATCGTTCATTAACCGTATCATCCCTCCAACGAAATTATTTACACTTTTGTGATCCATAGTATGGGCAAGACCAAAATCTTCTACCCGGATTATTATCAGACCAAGAAGTTTTCAAAGAGAGCAACAAATCATGAAAGCATCGCACTTCCTCATTCAACTTTGGATCATCTTTATCAAAACAAATGTTGTTCAAATCCAATTTTACATCTTTCATGGATAACCCTAACAAAAAAAAATAGAAATCAGAGAAAAGAAATTAGAAGCCCTAATTAACAATCGAACAAACAAGACGAAAAAAAATGTTTTAAAGAAAATAATTCGTTTAAGCTAAAAGCTTACCTCTTAAGCCCTACAATGGTGATCTTTCATATATGTGTTTGAGTGAAAGAGGAAGTGGGTAAAATGAATTATAAATTAGAACTATAAATCGGTAAAAAGAAATGGGTATAGATTAATGACTGAATTGATACGTGGCAATTATTGATTGGCTCAAAAAAGATTATTATGTGCCCTACGCACCTGTCCCTCGTGTATTCATGCAATGGTCCAGTTGGGCACGTATATGTATTTAAAATACACTATTAGGGGAGGAGGGGGGGGGGGGTAATAGGCAAGGTCGTCTTAACCACTAGGTCACTAAAGCCATCGCTTGGGTCCCCATATTTTTGGGGGGCCCCAATTTTATTTTTTAAATACTTATACATATTACTTAAAATTATATGTATTTTAAAATTAAAAAAAAATGTAAGAAGTATAAAATAAAAAAAAATAACGGTTAGTTTTCCCTACTTTTTTAAGGGAATGAAACATTTTTTGAAACTAATTTCCTTAAGTAGGAAATTGTGTTTCCTTATTTATCTCCTAAAAATTTGACCTTATATTATTATTTACCCGGAAAAGGGTCAAAATTGCCCCTAAACTATGTGAAATAGACCACTTATACCCTTCGTTACATTTTGGGATCAAAAATGCCCCTTCTATTATCCTAAGAGATCACAAATGCCCTCAAGAGTTAACACCCCAAATTATTAGTGATGTGGCAAGCCACATGGGACTAATCCCTCCACCTAAGCATTGCCAACTAAGATTCACTACAAAAGAACTTGACCTTTAGTGGCGACAAAGTCGCCACAAAATCCCAAAATATTGCCACTAATTGTTATGAGTGATTTTTAGCAGCGACTAAGGCTCCAACAACCATTCGCTAGTAAAACCTATTTTTTCAACAAAAAAATATGATAATTAATTTTCGATTGTAACCTAATTTTCTAAAATAAATAACTTGTCATATCAATATTAAAAACATCCAATATTATTACGAAAAATCATCAAAATTACTTTGCGATTCAAATCTCCTACTATATAATGCATCATTGTACATTTTATACATTTACATATGACATAAAAATAAAACTTACAGTGTCTTAAAACTCCTACTTAATCGATATCATTTTTTATTTTTTTTAAAACAATGAAGAAAAAAACACAAAATTAGAATTTAATGTAAAAAACTTTTAGTGACGATTTTCTGGGCTTTTGTGGCAACTGTTATCGCCGCTAAAGGTCAAGTTCTTTTGTAGTGAATCCTAGTTGGCAACGCTTAGGTGGAGGGATTAGTCCCATGTGGCTTGCCACGTCACTAATAATTTGGGGTGTCAACTCTTGAGGGCATTTGTGGTCTCTTAGAATAACAGCATGGGCATTTTTTAGTCCAAAATGTAACAAAAGGTATAAGTGGTCTATTTCACATAATTCAGGGCAATTTTGACCCTTTTCCGTTATTTACCTTATACTCATCTTTTTTCTTCTCTATTTTCTTATTTTTATTCTCAATATTGAACTCTCTCCTAAAAAAATGATTTATTGTTGCTTACAAGTTAAAAAAGAACAAAATTTGCTTTTGAGTGTCTTCTTCAAAATCTTAAGAAGTGCAACAAGCAATCATTATATTGAAGGAACGCAACACTATTTCAATATTGTTATATCAACTTATCAAATTCGTGAGCCAGATTTTATTATTCTAACTTTATTTTATAATTTTTGTTGAAATTTTGTTATTGTTGATATTCTTAGTTAGTAAGTATATATATTCTCGTTATAGTTATTATTAAGAAAAATAATACAAGTAGAAGATAATGATTTAATGGAAATACTCAATCAAATAAAAAGGCTTGATTCTTTTCCTAATGCATATATTGCTTATAGAATAATGTTAACAATTCCTGTAACTATTTCCTCGATCGAAAGAAGTTTTTCGAAACTAAAATTGATAAAATCTTATCTAAGATCAACAATGTGAGATTGAATGCATTAGCTATATTATCAATTGAAAAAGAATTTACTAAAACAAATCGATTAGAAAACAGTAATTAATGACTTCAAATCTAAAAAGGCTAGAAAAATAGATTTTTAATAAATATATAGATGATTTTCTTTTTAATTGAAAAAAAAAATAATTAAAAAAATATTAGGGCCCCTCTTTAATGTTTGACTTTAGGCCCCCAATCTTGTTGAGTCGGCCCTGGTAATAGGCCCTTCCCAAAGTTTGAGATTATTACATTAATTTCGATCAACGTTAAAATATTTTTCAGACTCTTTTCTCTTTAATTATACAAAATTTAGCGACAGATAATAAAATGGAGCATCTTAGATTGTTGTTTCTTGTTATTATTTATTATGTATGTATGTATATAAATATTACAAAATCAGAGTTGATTACTTCCCTCTGTCTTATTTGGCATTGATATAAAATAAAATACTTGTATGGGAATATAACAATTCAATTAATTCCTCCAAGCGTTTATATTCTTCTGTCTCCTTTTGGTATGAGAAGAAAACAAAATGTGTTCTATTCTTATTATACTCACTAAAATGATTCCTTCCCATTGAAGTCAATGTGTGTGTGTTAGAAGCAAAATAGATCTTAAAGAAGGTCTTTTTTTTAATTTTTATATATATTGAAATTAAAATCTTTATTAACTGCAAACAAACATGGAGATGTCACAATGTAGGGATCATTGAATTAGTTATATCCCGAGCTTTTAAATTATTTATTATTTCGCCACAACTTAGAAATCCAGCAAATGATGACACTTCTTCTCGAGGACACTAGTCTATGAAGTGAGTTGAGAGCCATGAGGTCTGAGGCTCAAGAACCTGCAAATCAAGTTAGAATATCTTCTTGATATCTTCATAACCAAGTTATCACAACCTTCATTCATATATAAACGCCAAAGATAGTGAAGAACCTAATATTTGTTTCCTCATAAAACCATCTCTTACTCCGAACAAAAAGTATTCTATGAAATTCATAACAAGAAAGTACTCTAGGAAATTAGTAATTTACATGATGTACGTAAGTCCTAATAAACAAAAAATTTAGAAAGCTAGTTAGAGAAACAGGGGTGACTAAACTAAATGAAGATTAAAAAAAAATAGGTAGGCATATCATACTTAAGCTGCATATATACTGTGTTAACTTCAATCTCAACAACTCATTCAGAATCTGTTGCATGCATGCGTCTAGCTCGGACTATTAATAAGTGTAGGGAGGAAATAACACATATACGATTAAGAACAGAACTTACTGACTCTAAATTTTGGATTTGTCACTGATTCAACACATATATATATATACCAAGAGTGCTCCTATAAAGACAAGTCCTAAGTTTGTTCTGCTTCCAAGCCAGCTTATTTAAATCCAAAAAGACTACGAGGATCCATGGCTAAATCAACGACCGATTTGAGCTCATCCCAGTTTCCATGACTAAACAAATACTCCTGATCTTCAGCACTTGTGTTCCAAAAGATTGAATTTGATGATGTGAATGGCGATTCAGGCATGGTCGTAATTAGTTGGCTATTATTGTAGTAACTGTTTCTTTGATCAACTTGATAGTTTAAATTTCCTCCAGATGATGCATTTGTAATGTTCTTTTGTGGAAATGCCATCTTTTTGAAATTGATGACATTATTGGAGTGATCATCACTGATTTCGGATTGAACACTGCATGCCTTAGAACTTGTGTCACCGAAACTTTGTTTAACAACGGGCTGCTGCTGCTTCCAATCTGGTGTGAATCTTTTGTAATTGGAAATCCTCTTGAATATTCTGCAGAGAGTCCAAACTTCCTGCAATTTTATGAATTTTGTAAGTGTTAATGATATTCGATATACAAGAAGAGAACTAAAAAGAAGCTTTGGCTAATTAGGTGATCCAATATCAATCTGCCTCTAAGCATAATAAGTCATGAGTTCCTTGAAAAAAGGAACAGGAATGTGGCTAAGTTTGAAGTGATTGAGCACCTCCACCGACCGATAGGTTGAGGGTCTGAGTCATGTTGTTAAAGGTCATTCAGAAACAACCTCTCTAGCTACCCCACAAAGGTAAGGGTAAGATCTGTGTGTATCTTGTCCTCCCCCTGACCCCACTTGTGGTATTACACTGCGTATGTTGTTGTTGTATATTATATGCCAGAATACTCGGAGATGAAGTAATCCAAAATTTCATGTTGTACCAAACATGAAGAAGAGATCATCCTGCATCTTTTTTGTAAAAGTTAGATTACAGAACAGGTCTGGTAGAACACATCATTAATGAGATTATTGAACTCTCAGGCAACGATATTTTCAAGTTCGTTCATACCTATATAAAGGGTAATATGATAGAGATCAACTAGCTAATAATCAGTGTAGTCTCACATAGTGAGGTCTGGGGAGGATAGTATATACACAGACCTTACCTCTATCTCATATGTGACTGTTTCTAATAGACCCCCGACTCAAAACAACAGGTAGAAACATAACAGTACTACAACAAGATAATACTACAAACAAACTACACGAAATAATAGATAGTCACAGAAATCAAAGAACAAGAAACTACAAGAGTAGTCCATCGAAAAACTTACAGCTTCAGGAGCAATGTTCTTGGGATTAGGGAGCTGTCCATTTGAAGTATTCGTCTTCCAAATAGGTGGGAGACGAAACTCATGCATCATCCAATCAGTTTTAGTACCTTTTCCAGCACTTCCCCTATAATATACTAATGATTTCTTGAGGCCAATGCACTCGTTGCTTTGTGAATAAACAGGCTTGTCAATTCCTGTTGCTTTCCAAAAACCAGATCCTGTTACTCTATTTGGTCTTACACTATTTTTGTACTTTCTTCCTCTCATGCTGAAGAAATACCATTCTTTGTTATCACCTACTCTGCACATCACTTCTTCATACAAATGAATTTCAACCAAAAGTTAGAAAGAAAAAAAAAAACAACAACCAACAATTAGCTTACAAACATATATCTCAAATGAAAAATATGTACAACTTCAAACATTTACATCGTGCTCTCGACTTCATATATAGTTACATTTATATATGCAAAAAAGTTGTGATATAACACAAGGTCTTTCAAAGTGTTGGAAATGCATTTGATTGATTAGTTATCCGTGAATCTAGAAAAAAGGGTTGAGGAATGGAACAAATGTATAACAAGATTTCTAGGAATTGTTGATTGATGCTGAGCTTACTATTGTGCAAAGTCTAATCTCATTGGTTAATTAAATTCAACAGGTTATCGCTCTCAAGGAGTGCAGATTTATAATAGGCATACATAAATTATTGTATGTCACTCTAAATATTCTATCTTAGTCTTGCTCAATTTAAACCCTTTAGACTTCAAGGTTTGTCTCTAAACCTTCAACCTATCATTAACTATATCGCTTGTCTCATCGATCAATACTATGTTATCTACAAAGAGTATACACCATGACAACTCTCTTTCGATATGTCACGTGAATAAATTATCACCAAGGTAAATAAAAATAGACTAAGAGTCAATCCTTGACATAGCCCTCATCATGACTACAAAGTTATCCGATTCTCTTCTCACTATCCTCACTTGGATTTTGACTTCATCATACTTATATTTAATGACCATAATGTAAATTGTAAGCAACAAGTATACCTTTAGCCTTCAAACACCTTCAGGAAAAACCTATGTGGACTTTATTGTAACCTTTTTCTAGGTCAATGAACACCATATGTAAATCTCTCTTCCTCTCGATCTACACTACTCCATTTACCTTCTAACGAGATGTATGACTTTTGTAGTCGAATGCCCTAGTATGACTTCAAATTGGTTTTTGGTGATAAAAACACACACATTCATCCTCATCTCTATCATCCTCTCCTAAACATTCATAGTGTTACTTTGCAGCTTGATACCTCTATAGTTGTTGTAATTCCAAATATCACATTTGTTCTTGTACAATGAAATCATTATACTCTACATCAATTCTTTGGGCATTTATAACGTTCAAAATTTCACCGGAATCTCATTAGTCTAGTCTCCCTCCCCCTTCTCATGCATATCTTACGAATAACCTCCTCATGTCCCTATAATATCCAGAATTTCAACGACTTTTGGAGTGTTGAAAATCACCCAACACAATATTCTTGCCACCCCTTCATTCGAGAGTTTATGAAAATATGTATGTCATCTTTATCTCATGTGTGTCTCTTCCACCAATACTTTTCCTTCCTCATCTTTAATGCACTTCACTTAGTTCATATCACTGATCATCTTCTTACTTTTCCAAGATATTGATCTGATTATTATTGATAGTTATATGGAGTTATGTATAAAATTTACGCGATTTTCTTGGTTTTTCATGTGTATTAGTCTATTAAAAATAAAATTTCATCGTTTATGTTTTGTAAGTATAAATTTCATCGATTTCATATTCTCTTACATGAATGACATATTATGTTTAACTTATAGTTAAATATTTTATGTGTCTCATATTATTTGTTCGCGTTATTAAAAATAATTGTCTGAAATTACTTATCAATTCATAAAATTAAGATAAAATTGATTTATATTTTTCATTTTATCCTTAAAATTATTATTTTTTGAAAGCTTAAACATTGTATATGGCTCCAAAAGAAATTCTTCATTATTAATTTTGATATAAATTGATAAAAACACAATAAATAGAATTATTAAAAGAATAAATTAATAAAAAAAAATTTAGTTCACAATTTCTTTTAAAAATGTATAAAATGAAAAATAAACAAGTAATATGAGACAGAAGTTAGATCGAACATGCATTTCTTTATCTACCACGTATTATGTGGACAAAGATATCGTCGCCGTTGCTTCTGATACACTCAAGCAAATTATTATTAATTATATATAAGAGTAATATTGTTTTTTTTTTATTATTATTATAATATTATAGATACTATATATTATATTAGTCAAAACAAAAATTCGTGCTGTCTTGTTTGAATTAGCTAATAATGAAAACTTGGTCAACGACGACAGTGGCAAAGTCACTTTCTAATTATCTTTTTTTATGAATTATTCTTATGATTCCTACAACTTTGGGGCCAACCCCTTGGTCTATAATTGTTGCATGAAAAGGTCAAACAAATATATATACACATCCTCATCAACTATTTTTTTGAAAAGAATAATGTGTTATTATATTAAAATTATATAATTTTACATTTCTTATCCTATCCTAATTAATGACATTATTTTATAATTACAAATCATCACCTACTTATTAAAGCCGCAAGTCCTAAGAAGAAAAATTCTTTTTAAAATTTCAGATATAGTCAAAACACATTCACATAATTAGAAGAAATACAGAGAGACTAAATATATAAATATTTTTTAAATTTTATATTACTTGTTTCAACTAGCGATTAGATACTTTCATCGATTCCTTTCATTCATGTCACATAATTTCATAATTGAGAAATATAGTAGGATGAGCTAGAGCCGTAGAGGAATGTTTTGTCCAAAGAATTTGGCTTATCACTAAATATGTACATAATTAATAATTTTATTTTTAAATATTTGTAGCTAAATAAAAATAGCAATATATTTTTATTTAATTATAAAATTTATCTATCACTAATTTATGTATTTATTAGTAGTGGAAACGGATAAGCTAGCACAATTTCTTAGTCTTCTTGACCTTTAATTCTAATCATCTTTAAGCTGGTTACGGACCTAAAACAAATTTGCTAAGTATTTTATTAATCTCTTTCAATGAAACCAAGAAAAAAACATAATCAAGAAAAAGGTAACATAAAGTAACTTATAAGTATAAAATCTGAACAAAATTTTTTGAATTCACGTGAACGGTAGATTCGCCATTATATTTGAACATAGATTTGTGCAAAATGTTAACATAAATTAACTTGTATATAGGGGTGTACATGACCGGATTGGTTCGGGTTTTTCAAATATCAAACCAAACCATTTGTGTCAGATTTTTAAATCTATAAACCAAACCAACAAAACTCGGGTTTTTCAACCTCGGGTTTTTTCAGATTTTTTCGGGTTTTTCCAGTAAAATATTTAAACAAACATATAATTTACTTGTACTTCAAATATTTCTTTAGTCCTACCAAAATACAAATATCTAAGGTGTTTCTTAAGAAAATAACACAAAATATGATATGAGTAATGACACTAAAATATCCAACAAAAAAATAATAATAATGAAATCACGTAAAACAAATATTGCAAATTAACAAGTCATAATGAAAATGATCATAATTTAAAAGTACTAAATCATGCTAAAATAAGTTTAATAAGTATTAGTTACATGACTAAATATTAAAGGATATTAAAATTAGATTATGTATTTGAATTGTCTAAACCAATGTAAAACCAAAGAACAAATATTCAATATTATTGTCATTCTTAGTGTTGAATTGATTTTCATTTTACATTAGTATTAATTTGATTTTGATTTAAGCTTTATTATAATTACCAACATATGTGGACTATAATCTTTATTGAACCATTCAGAATTCTAAGTTTCAAACTTGAAATAATATATTAAAAGATAAAAACTATGAAAAGTATAAGAAATATTTAAAAATTATATCAAAGTAAATATTTTTATGTATAAAATAAAATTTTAAAATTATATATATAATGTCGGGTTGGTTTTTTTTATTTAAAATCAAACCAACCCAAATATAGTCGGGTTTTTTTTTTCAATACCAAACCAAGTCAAACCAATCACTAGTCGGATTTTTTTTCTCGGTTTGCGGTTTGATTCGGTTTTCGGTTCGGTTTTGTACACCCCTACTTGTATATATAAGTTCTGAATAAAAATTATTGAATTCATGTGAATCATAGATTACTGAATGGTTTGGCCAATTTGAACATAGATCTGTGCAAAAAGATAACACAAAACAACTTGTATATATAGAATTTGAGCAAAAACTATGAATTCACGAGAGTTTAAGTATATTAAGTAGATTGACCAATTTATTTGAACATAGCAAAAAGATAACATAAAATAACTTCTATATAGAATCTAAGCAAAAACTGTGAATTCACGTGAGTTGTAGATACTAAGTAGATAAACCAATATATTTGAACATAGACTTGTGTAAAAAGATAACAAAAAACAACTTGTATATATACGATCCGAACAAAATCTATGAATCCACATAAATCATAATTACCAATTAGATCCACCTTTTGACATAGAATTGTGAAAAATAGAACATAAAATTACCATATACGACCTGAATAAAAACTACTATAAATTAACATGAACCATAAATTACAAGTAAGTCGATCCACCTTTGAACACAAACTCATGATAAATGGAACATAAAATTAGTCAATTGTATATATACTCACTTGGAAGATCCCAAGGATCATGTTTGTAAATATCAACCTCTTTGATTAGATCAAGTTTGATCTTTTTATTTTCCACTTTGCGTTTAAGATAAAACCCTACAAGCTCTTCATCTGTGGGATGAAATCGAAATCCTGGAAGCAACAAATCATTTTCTTCATCATCATCACTATTTTTATCTTACTTTCACATACTACAGTACTTTCCATTTTTTCTACTCTTTTTTCACTCATTTTTTAAAATTAATCATATGAGCTAGTGCATGGATATTTTATAGAGTTTTTGTTAGTCAATAAGCCAAAGAAGAAAATAAAATATAATAATAAATAAGAGAAAGACAAATTATATAGTATTTAATGAGAAAGGTCTAGAGATTGTAGTTGCTTTGGTCAAAGACCACCGAACTTAATTTGCCTATTTTAATTTGTTGATTATTCAAAAATGACTAGAAGAAATATACTTTATTCTGTCCATTTATTTTATGTGAACGAATTTTTATTTTATTTTTTTGAATTTGGTGGTCTTAATATGCTTCAAGTATTTCTATGATTGTATCATCATGTCACATTTAGATTGAAAGGGATAGTTTATAATTTGATTATTTCTAAATATTCATATATGTTACTCTCTTCATCACATATTAATTGTTAAGATTATTAAAAATATTTGTTATATTACAAAAATAGAGATGAAAATTAATTAATTCTTCCTATTTTTTCTTTGATATAATTAAGTGCTCTGAAATTAATCAATATTGATTATATTGTATAAATTTGAAGAGTTCAAACAAGTAATCATTAGTTGATATGGCAATTGTTCAAATATCAATAAGATGAGCTTAGTCTTTGTTTTTAAATAAAATACATATTTATTAAGGAGCAACAAAAATAAATTAGTAAAAAGAAATATCTTTTATTTATAAATTCTTAAAAAATATGTAAAAAAATATGACAACTAATATCAGACTGAGACTGAAAGAGTATTCTTTTTAAGTTCTAACATACCTATAAAAGAAAAGTGCGTAAGGAATACTTGGTAAAAGGTTGGAGTCATTTATGAGTTAGGTGCGCAATTGGAAGGTCTAAGATTTAAATTCTACTTATACCAAAGTTTGATATTTTTCCAATTAAATACTATTATTATTTAACTGTGTGTGATATTTTTCCAATGAAATACAATTATCTTTTAAGTGTGTATGATATTATTATCATGTCACTGTCCATTGTCCCGCATACAATTTGCAAATTCTAATTGAGTAATTATGTATTTCCTCATTTTCAAAATACTTGTCTTCTTCCCTTTGGAACGTTGCAAATATTTTCCACCTCACTTAATCAATTAAGTATAAACACATTTTAACGCTATAATATAAAAGTTTCTTTTTTTTTTCTCATTCGGTGTCTGGTTGAGCCTGACTAAATTCTGGTTCTTGCTGGAAAGTTTCAAATCTTTCTATTTATGATCATGTCCTTGGTAACCTATAGATATGACATGTATTGTCTAATCATTTCTCCCTTATACTTGTTCGGTCTACCTCTCCTTATACCAAGTGTAGACAACCTCTCATATCTTCACATATCTGAACCATCTCGGTCTCGCTTTGCTCCTCTTATTTCACACACACCTTGTTCAAGATATATATCTTCGTTACTAATCTTATCTCTTCTTGTATACCATACATTCATCTTAACATCCTTTTTGTGCTACTATCATCTTATAGACGTGTGAGTTCTTAACCGGCCAACACCACTCCCCATTGAACATAGTTGATTTAACCACCATTTTAATTTATATATAAAACTTATATTTTAGTCTTGGTGGAACATTCTTATCACACAAGACACAAATATAAGCTTCTTTTAATAGACTCCACTTCAATTCAAAGTGTAATATCCTCGTCAATCTTACCAATTGCTTGATTTATTGACTCCGGATACTTGAAACTTCATCGTTTGGAGATGACTTGTGTATAAATTTTCACTTCCACATCGTCCATGTTAGTCGCGTCATTGAACTTGTACTCCAAGTATTCTATCTTAGTCTTTCTCAACCTAAATTCTTAAGACTTTAGGTTTGTCTCCAAATCTCCAGCTTAATATTTACTCTAGTATTGTCTTTTCAATCCCCTAATTAAATAGAAATGTTTTAAGAGTTGTTCCATGGTGCAAGTTCATTACGACTGGACAATGCTTTGAATATTCTCCCTCTATCCCCACTTGAGTCTTGGCTCCATAATAGATATCCTTAATCGCTCTAATAGTAGATAGAAATACATCTATAGCCTCCAAACATCTTTATGAAATACCCCTAGGAACTTTGTCATAAATTTTTCTAGGTCAATAAACACAATATATAAATCTCCTTATGAGATGTGTACATTATATAGTTGAACGTTCTTACATGAATTCAAAATGGTCTCAACAATAGACATAACGATATTCATCCTCACTTAATCAACCACATTCTCCCAAACTTTCATAATTTGAATTAGCAGTTTGATATTCCTATAGTTATTACAATTTTGAATATCGCCCTTATTATACAATTAGATAAATATTGTACTCTACCTCCTTTTTCGAATTTAATTTAATTTGGATTTACAACTTTTAGATTTACTTTAACGTTTTCTATGTGTTCACTTTTCTTGTACCATGTATCTTAAAAGTTTTATGTTCTACAATTTTTATTGTATTATATTAAATTAACACATGTATTTGCCAAATAATGCAAATAATAACGATAATTTTGATTATATAATAAGTTTTTAATACTTTCCAAAAAAATTAGAAATAAAAATAAATTTTGAATAAAATATAATGGGGGATAATTTTAAAACAAAATTAAAACACATGGATAAATCTAGATCTTTTTTTTATGAAATATTATGATTTGTGAAATTTATCGTGTTAACATTTTGATCGAGCTGATAACTCCATGTTTTATGTCGATTAATTTTGCTTGAATTAAGAACATTTATAAGATGATGCTAATAATAAGAATATTAGTGATTCAAAAATATAGTGGAGTGTAATTTTATTTTATTTTTCCAATAGAAGATGATATATTTGGACATTCTAAGTGTATAAGTATATTCATGTTTGTCATATTGCTTCATTCAAAATGATACTGTAGATCCACCTAAGTTAAATATCTAAAAAAAAATCATACTCAATTTCTCTTTTTAAGATCGTGCTATATAGAAGTGTACAATATTAATAAGTTGAGAGGGAAGCAACAAAGATTGTGATAGAGTGGTAAGTACTCTTTCATTCTTAATTCTTGCAGATTGCAGTTGAGTTGTCGTCATTGATTTGGAGTCGTGTGGAGAAGCTTGGAGTTTCGGAGATTAGGGGGGCATCTGGAGCTACCTGTTTCCGTCTATTTTGGCTAGGCTTAATCTTTATTTTGTATTCAGAGACAGTTTGTACTTGTCTTGTATTTGTAAAAGACTTGTACTCCTCTTTTGGATTAGATGCCCAACTACTAAACTGATACCGGGTCTTGGGATGGTTCCTCTATTGTTTTTATTAATTATCCTTTTTCTACTTTATTCTAAGCTCTTGTTTCTTGTTGTTGACTTCCGCTTGGTAGTATGTTGCTTATGGCTCCGAGCTAAGGATTAATTAGGCTTACCTACTAGTGTATTGTAGTAGGTGTGAGCGGATGGGGCGGGCAAGGAGAGCGGCATTGTTGTAGGTTCGATTCATCAATGTCGGTATCTCAATCACAGATTGATGTTGTCCTATCATGATCTGAAAAATTGGGTCGTGACAGTTGGTCTCGAGTTTGAGACCTCCTGGGTACGGGATCACCTTTGTTAGGGAGCATTTTAACCTCCCCCCCCCCAAAACCCCCAAATATGGAATTTTCCGATGTGAATCTAAATTTAGTCGTACTCCAATATAGATACTACACTTCAGATGTAAAAACAAATTGAGAGAGAAGAGAAGTACAAAAGATGAAGTTATGATGATGCATGCATTACAAGGAGAATTTTGAAAGGTAAAAGACATGTCACATTCTTATTTTTGAAAATTAGTGTTTTTAGTTATATGATAAAACAAGTGTGCTAGTCCACTAGTGTGGGCATACAATTGACTTGAACAATCCAAAGTTAGAAAAAAAGGAAAAAAGAAAACTCAAAAGTCTTTTGTGATTGCAAGAGGTCATGTATATATATTGGAGAAAGGAAAATTAGAAAAAAAAACAAAAAGTCAGGATTCTGTCTGGAAGATATACATTGACCAATTCATACGTTGGCCCCCATTGTGGACATATTGCTTTCTTCTTTCTACAAGTCAAGCCACATATGTCTTCTCATTTTTACTTTGTTGCAACTATGTCATGATTTCATAGGATTTGTCCTTTATATTAATTTTTTTTTTTAAATATTACTCTTATTATTAAATAAGAGGTCAGTTGATAGCTGGTTATAAGGCGGTAAGTTATTCATATATAATATTAACGGTGATATTATTCATGTATGATATAAATATTGATGTCTGGTTTTTAATTTTAAAAAAATTACATATATAAGTTATGAAGAAATTTAATGTATATTTTATGCAAAATAAAATATAAAATAAATAGGATAAAATATGAAAAAAATTATACATAAAAAACTACACTAGTATATAACTAATATATAAATGACTAAACTATGTAAAACTAAAAATGATTACAACAATGTTATCCTTGAAGCAGATGCAATGTTAATCATCCAGATGCTTCAAGGGAAAGTCATGAAGCCTCCATGGCACTTACAATCGATTATGGAAGAAAATCAAGTCGCAGATATCTTGACTAAGACTAAAAAATGTGTATATTCTGATCCTGGTGATCTTCCCAAGGAGGCTATTATCGTAACTCTAACCAGCTATCAAATGACTCCTAAATAATTAATTTAACATAATAATAATCAAACTTAGATTTTCATGGTATAAATAATAAAAATAATTAATTATTACAAATTAAATTAAACCACTAATAAATACTCTTCCCATCCCATTGTTATTTTAACTTTACAAAAATATATCCCAAAATATGTCATTCTAGAAAAACTAAAATCAACAATGATTTTCAATTCTATCTTTAGTATTGAAGAGTAAATTTTAATACTGCTCAATTCGTGAGAAGAACTAAAATGATTATATTAAAATAAAATGGAGGAAGTACGTAGTTTCTTAAGAAGTGTGCCAACTACTAAGTGAACAAGATAAACAAGTAAAATGGA